CCGCTGTCCCTGACCGTGCGAAAGCGCTGCGCCTAGAACGAGTCTGCGCCGCGCCTCGCGAAACGCCAGCTGTCGCCCAAGCTGCGCCTGGGTCTGCGCAAAAGCGTCGCGAGAAAAGGGGATCGCGGGAAAAGCGCGCGCGTCCGCGCCAATGGGCCCGGGCCCCAGCCCGTTCCCATCCCGTTCCAAACCCGTGCGCGCCTCAAGCGTGGAGACCGAGGTAGCTTTCGAGGTAGCTTTCAATGTGCCACAAAAACGAGCTCGCTGCGCGCAGTTTCATGGGTCATGCGCACGCTATTTCGATTGACTTTTTGAGAACATGGCGGCTCACCCATGGCAGATGCGCACATGGTCTCACATGGTTGACAAAGAGGCGCTAGTGTCGGAGATGAGCAGTTGTTTGCATCCAAAAGAGATTCGCTCCAGGATGAGCTAGGATTGCTGCAAGAGCCGGAGCTGGAGAGTACCGCACGGCGACTCAAGAAACAGGCGCATGTCTGACCCTTTTTGGTGTTTCTCTTGTTTGTGTTTCCCTTTGCGTTTTCCTGTTTTTCAGGGCTTCAGCTCTTGGGTTTGCAGTATGAATTTCCATTTTGAGTTCCCCGTTTGGGGATTCCCTTTTCGGTTTCCGTTTTGGGCTTCTTCTTTGGCGTCTCCCTTCCTTTTTAGGATCTCCCTTTTGAGGTTTCTCCTTTAACAGGGCTCCTTAAAAGATACATTTTGCCAATTTGAAACATGGCTTTTTTTACCAAGTAAGGGGAAACCACCATGGACAAGGCAATGTTCAGTTAATATAAGGATCCTTCCTTCAGGTGTGTCCCTTTGAAGGCTTCCCGTTTCAGGTTCCCTTATGGGGCTTCCCCTTTAAGGTTTCTTGTTTTTCCTTTGGGGTTCGCCTTGGCCTTGGGGTCATTCACAAGTGAGTCCCGTTGGACCCTTTCAGAGGGCCGGGATTGAGCTACAAAATATGAGGCGATTGTTAGCAGCTGGACTACCGTTGTTTTTTTCCCCTCTTTTTCTTGGCGTAGTCTGTGGGACGGGCGGGGTTTTCAAACTCCGATGACCCGGTTTGATGCCGGCAAAGGATGTGGGTATGTCCACACTCGGTATCCTTTTAAGCGCGTCCCGGGCCATGATTCAAGGTGATATGCCGCATGAGGGTATTTCATAGAAAATCGGGACCTCTTCAGACGGTTGGCTTCTTTTTGGTTTCCCTATGTTTCCCTATATAAGCCATTTGAAAGTAGGAGGTTCTCCTGTCACCCATGGCCGCTTGGCCAGTGGGCGCAGGTGCAGTCGGACTTCTCGGAGGTTCTTCGAGAGGCGAAAGGCGACTGCTTGTCATTGCTGGAGGCGGCGGGAGGATGTATTCGCATGGAGTATGCAAAGTTTTGCAGGTGGTTCTACTTTGAGTGGATTTTCGGTTCCTTTATGCATGGAGGGTTTGGGGGGCTATCCTTGGAGAAGCCTAGGAAAAGCCACATTTTTTTAAAATTAAATCATTGTATTCCTTGGCCTTGATTCGACCTCTGCCACAACTGGGTGGGTAGGTAAGTTTCTTTTTTGGGTCCGCTCGAAGCTCTTTCAAGGCGGCGCTGGACCCTCTTTTTTGAGTGCCTGACTTTGGAAATGGATCACTTGCACTGTCTGCACTGGTCACGTCCTGAAATTGATTCACATGGTTTGAATACACGGGAAAAGATGGTTGGGGGTTGCACAGATCCAACCATGATTTGAATTCAATTGGCGTCAATGGAGGATGTGATGAGATTTGCAAAACCAAGGCGGACGAACACCAATTTTCCCAGGTTCAATACCAGCACCGCATATTTTGACCGTGACTCACCTGGTCCGCACTCTGGCGGTGGATGAAGCCTCTGAGCAGTTGCTGTCAGAGTCGCGCCCGCGGCGGGTTCATTTGGACAAGTTGCTTTGCCATAAGGTCTTCTTGATATGAGCCACAATGGTAGATCACGTGCGGTGGGGCTTTCCCAATCATATTTTGCCAAGCGGCTTGCTGCCCTGTCAATTCTTTATGTGGTTTTGGGTAGGCGTCTGTGCCAGGTTTGGACTACGACTTACTTAGTCTCTTTGAGTTCTCTTTTAGTATAGATTCACAGATTTGCCGCATCCAAGCCGTTTCTTAGACGCACTTGTTGTGGAGACTGAGCAGCGCTCAGGCCGTTTTGGAACATGTTGCAGCGACCTCTTGGGTTTGCGGCCGAAAGCCCATGATGCAGCTTCTAGGTTCGGCATGTTCATTTCACAGGAAACCCTCATTACGGGGCAATGTGTTTATTTTGTCTATTCATAGATGTAGGCTGTTTGGCAATCTTAATCGCTGGTAAATTGTTCCTATGTGATTCTCCATTCTGTTCAGCCATCCTCCTTTGCGAAACCACTAACGTAGAATGCCAGGCTGCATCTTGGAAGGCTTTAGCCATTCTGGCTCACAGGTACCGAACCCCTTGCTCATACATACCGTCCTCGTCCTGCGAAATTGGTGCGGCTTGCAACCCGTGATGATAGTCGCGCTCACTGCCGCGAATGCGGAAATTGCTCCGCTGACCGACTTCTCAGACCGGGTGGTGCCTTTCACAGCGGTCACTTGGAGCTGCGTGATCTTCCCCTTTTTGGTCCTGCTGGCTCATGAAGCTGCAAAAACCAAACCTCTGCTGACAAATCCTCAGGATGCAAATACCATGTCATTCCAGATCTCAATTATGTTTTTTTTCTTCCACTGGTATGTCATGGAAGCGCTGCTTATGCCGATCTCGCTGGATTTCGCGGAAAGCATGGGGCAGAGTGCCACCATGAGTGGCTTCTTTCTTAGCTCCTCGATGATTCCTGTTTTTATTGCAATAGTGGTGAGCAAGAGAATGGTGAGCGAAAGCAATTGGGATCAGGCCAGCAGGGCCAAAATCGGCTAAAGGGAGACCAAAAGGATGTTGTGTAAACAATAGTGGTTTAAACCATGTTTAAACCAAGGGTTGGGCAAACAATGCAGGCAAATGCACGCACTTTGATCCTTGGTGCCCAAGTGATTGGCAGCATCGTGCTGCTGGTGAAAGCTGTGGTGGCCAGTTCCACGGTGGATCGCAGTGTGGGGACGAAACAGGCGGTGTTTTGGCTTCTTATTTGCCTGGGTCAGATTTGTTCCTTTATGCAGGCCTTGCCACTGGTCCCCTTGATGGTCATGTGGGCCAAGATCACGCCGAACAGAGAGAGGAGCTATTGGAGTGTTTGGACACAGTGCGCCAGAAACGGGGGCTTTTTGGTCGGCCCGGCGGTTTTTGCGATCATCAGCCTGTGCGTGAAACAAGGCCAGCCAGTCGCGCCCGTGTCTGTCATGGCTTGGATCTTCTTCGCGCAGTGCATCATCATGCAACTTGCGACCATTTACATCGCCATGGCTTTGCCCAAAGCGCTTCTCCCCAACGAGGCAGGGGGCAATTGTAGCCAACCGGACCCTGGCGCCCTCAGCCCATTGGGGTGTAGGGTGTTCAAACCATGGTTTGAACACGGAGTGGGTACAACCCTGTGAGGATGAGGAGATCGAATCAGAGCAGACAGAGCAGGGTGTTGAGGAGTTGGACGCAAAGCAGCGTCAGGAGATTGTAAAGCAAATGATTCGATATGGATTCCTGCGGTATTTTCAGACTGCTTCCATAGAGGTAAGTGCCATCATGTTACTGGAGGTGTCTTATGATTGGCCCACCGAATCCTGTGGCGCAGTGTTGACTGCAGTGTCCTTCACGAGTCTGTTGTTCGCAGCTTTCTCTGCTACACTGATGTCGCGCAAGCTTGTGTCAGAGTCTGTGATTTTTGCCGCGAGCAACCATATCGCGTTGCTGGGAGCGATATTCCTGTTTGACTTTGGCACGGGAGCGGCGGGTTTGATGATAGCAGCTTGGTTCCCAGCCATACTCTTAGACTTGTATGTAACAGCTTCTAGCGTTTAGAGGGACTTTTGACAGAGCCCCACCGGAAGTTTTAGCTTTTTGCACTTTCGTTTTCCCTCATTTTCCATTTCGACCAGCAAAAAGTGAACTCCCCTACATTGCCCTTCAACCGTTTCAACCAGCAACGCAAACCATTGCAACATTTGCCCCCAGGCAGACGCTCTCGTGTATGGCTGTTCAAGTGTGTCCAATGGCATCGCTGAGGGCTGGGGATCGAAGGCTGCAATACCTGACACAGACTGCAGCCAGGACTCCAAAATCGATCTCCGTTTGGTTGGATGAAGGAGCCCAAAAGGGGCCATGTTTTGTTTTGACCAAATCTTATTTTGAGCAACGCCCAGTTGTCCACAGGCAATCGAACTTTGGCCTTCTGGGTTTTCCCTGGTGGTTCCAGATGGTTGCGCTTTTCTTTCCAGATCCTTTCGGATCCTTTGGGCAAGTGACAGGAAGCATATCAAGCGTGGAGCTACGGTTCGATCAGTGTTGCTCGCTTTATCGCGCCGATGATCGCAAGGGCCATGATAGCCTATGGGGGGCGCAATGTGAACGCTGCCGCGCTGCTGATGATGGTGGCCATGGCTTGTTCCATAGTGCACTCAGCAACAACGATGGTTTGGAACCATCAAAGTGAGAAAGCTGAGGCGCGTGAGTCTATGAACTTGCGTGAGAAAGCTTAGCGCAAAAAGACAAAAAGGCCGTCTGGGTCTAATAGGTGACACTGCGGGAGCTCTTGAACGTAAGAAAACAGCCCCTGCTGGCCTCCTAGCTCGGAGTTGTAAAACGACCTTTTTCAGAGGGACCTGCCTCAGTCTCTTTTTGAAGCAACCTCACCAAGGGTACCCCCAAAAAGACATATCCACTTCTTCATGCTCTGTTGTTCGGGAATCCGAGCTTGACCGCATCAAGTGAGCAACTGGCGATATCGTTGGATGTCCCATTGTTGCTTTTGGGGAGGACGAAAAGGTGGGGGCCTCCCCAAATACCAACCACAAAACCCAGGTGTCCGATCCCTTCACAACACTTTCTCCTGCGGAACCCAATCAGTTTTTTTTTGTGGCTACAACATGTCCAAACAATCCGTTGATACCTATGAAGAGACGGGGGATGAGCAACCTGGGTTGGGTTGCCATTGTCCCCAATGCGCTCTTTCCCTTCGGGTTGGGCGTTTGAAGATTCCCAGCAAGCCTGTGGAAGAACTTGAATGAAAGAAGTACTCCGTTCTGGATGTCACTGCCCACATGAATGAGTCACGTCACGAGGTTTGATTCGCCAAAGGGGGGCCGAATGGATGGAATTCCGCCAGGAGCGTGGCGTGGACTTCGAGAGTTACCTCTGGGCCAAGTCGGTGCCGGTTGCGCTTTGCTCTTTGCCAGCCTTTGAAATTGACCTGGAGTTTGAGTCCCAGTAAAGCAGCCCCGAAAAGGGTACAGCCTCAAAAGCACAACCATGTTGGAAATTAAGATCGACCCCTTCTTGGATGGATCCTGAGCTTATCCAAGGCCTGCAGATTCATAATCCGATTGTTTTCGAAGATGGAACTGGGGCCGTGAACTTGTCATAGGGCATAAGTTCTTGAGGAAGTGTGCAACGTGGACCCTAAAACGGACAGGGTTTTCCCTGAATCGCCGTCCAAACACGGGGTCCAGCATATTTTGGGAAGAGTATTGCTGTGCGTACTCATCGGTGTGTGCCAGCTAAACTTAAGAAACCCTTTCTCAATTGCTTGTAAACCATGATTTGGCCATGACCAAGTAGGCATAGCAAAAGGATCACATGTTTCTATTATTTTGGAAAAGCCTCAACCCCCCTACGGCACTCGACAGGTGCTGTGGAGCCGCTGTGTGGACTTCTCTCGAGAGCTCTTGGAGACAGCAGGACAACGAGATCAAAGAATCAAAAAGCCAACATGCAGCTGGGGGATCCGGGTTGCTGTGGTCTTGGTTGTTGGCTTGCAGATGACAGTGTGTACGACCAATTCAATCGCTTTTGGCGAAACTTGAACTTTTGGGGAAGACTTGTGGAATTGGACCTGTGTGGGCCAATTTGAGGAAGGTTCTGAGATCTTATGTTTGCATGTAAAAAAGACCCCTTTGCTGGTCGGATGCCAAGCGAGGACAGGCTTTGCCGGAAACCAAGCAGCACCTCCGTCTGCTGGTTCCTGGCTTCGACATGGCCAACCATGATCCCAGGCTTTGCTTCTCCCTGTGCAGCTGCCTACTGTTGGTCCTCTTTCCATCATAGGTGTATATGCACAATCACACATTTGTCTAATTGTGTATATACAACCATTTGTGAACATGTATGTCAAGTGCTATATACAAATATACGAATACATATATATATATATATATATACATACATGAATATATACATATATATATATATAATACATGTGAATATATATATATATATATATACATGAATATATATATATATATATATATATATATGAATCAATCAGGAAGTGAGACATATGCACGAGGAAGACACTTGCGTAAAGTGTCGGCTCACAGATGAGGGTTGAAGCAATGGTTTAACAGTGGGTGCGGAGCCACTGTTTTTGGTAAGCAGCCACTGCCCAGCCTGTGCAGCTAAAGAGCTGATTCAGGCTGCCGCATTGGCCAGGGACAGATGGAGGAGCTTCACCAAAGGGGAAGCATCTGGGTCTGAACCCGGATCCCGGATCAAGTCTCTTTGGCCTTGCGGTTGGCCCGCCCAGCCTCCGAAGTGGGGTGGGTTGTGGCTGCGGATCTGGGGAGAGAGAGCCTCGACGGAATACCAGTGCTATGATGATGAAGGAGGTCCTCAAGGGCATGGAGTGCTACAGCTGCAAAGCTGAAGGTCCTCAAGGGCATGGAGTGCTACAGCTGCAAAGCTGGGAAAGGAAGGACCAAAGACCTTTTCTGTGCAAGCCACGGCCCCTTCTCTGATGGGTACTACCAATGTTACGTGGACACTGATCTGCACAGGACTGGAGCCGTGTACCACCTATGCAGCGGCAATCAAAGGCGCTGCCGAGAAAGGCTAGCGCATGGTGATCGGCGAGCCTTGATCCATGTTGATCACTGGCGTTTTCTCACTCCCCGGGTGATGGTGGAGAAGGGCTTTATGAGAGCCTTGGGCGTCGAGCAGGGAATGACAGCCCTGGCGGAAGCAGTGAGAGAGCTCAAGCGAGCGGCTCCCGGTGACACAGGCTTAGATGAGGCGCTGGCCAAAGTGGGGAGTCATGAAGCTGCCAGTGAAGTGGCCGACCCGCGTGTGACATCCACAAAGGGAAAGAGGAAGCATGAGAGTTTGGAGGAGTACGTGGTTGCCAAGATGAAAGCGAGGCGCGAGTCGGCTGCAGGCGTGCAGGAGGAGCTCCAAGCAGAGATGCCAAGGAAGAAAAAGAAGAAAAGGCGAGGCAAACGTGAGAGCGGCGCTTCAGCAGAAAGTTCATCAGAGGACAGCAACTCCTCAGCTCGGGGAGGGGATTTTTGGCGAGTTGCTCAAAAGAAGCCCAGAGTCCTGGCACGTTGCGCCCTGGACGAAATGAGCCGCTACCTGGCAGACCGAGAAGAACAGGGCCTGGACCCTCGAAAGTGGGGTGGCCAAAAGGTGCTGGCTTACGTCAGCCAAGTGGTGTGCAGCTCACCCTCCGGCCAAGCTGCTTGCTGGAAAGGCCGCTCACTGCCTCGATGTGTTGATCCAACGCATGAAGGTGATCGAGGCCAGCCTGAACAAGGGCACGTGGGCGGCCGCGCGGCATTTGGAGATCATCCCGCCCACGGCGGCCTCCCTGACAAGAGAGGACGAGCGCGAGGCAGCGACCCGACTGGAGTTGAGGAATGTGAAGCTGAAGGAAGCTTTGATGAAGGCGAGCCGAGGTAAATAGGGGTTTGGCAGCGGGCTTGCTCCCATCGCGGAGAAGCCCGCGAGCCAGCCAAAAAGAAGCGAGAGCAGAAAAGAGGAACGCGACGGAAAAGAAGGCGCGAAGAAAAGAGTGACTTTCAAAGAGGTGGAGTTGCAGAGGCGCGAGAAAGAAGGCCAGCCAAGGAAAGGTGCTTTGAGAGAGGTGCCCGTGAAGCAGGTAGATGTGGAGAAATCAGGAAGAGCCGCTGGAGATCAGAAGAAGGGAGCGTGGAGCCCATGGTGGCTAAAGAAGCAGAAGAAGGGTGGTGGAAAAGGAGAGACGGGCCAAGAAGAAGCTCGTCGCGGGAACTCCCGTTTGGTGAGGAAAGTGAGCTTGAGCCAGTGAGAGAAGCAGAGACTCTGCAAGATCCGGCCAGCTTGGTGAAGGAAGAGCTGCTGGGCGCTTGCCCCCGGCGGCGTGTTCAGTGTAATGATGAAGAATGGGCAAAGATTGCGGCAGCACTACTAGATCGAGGTCTAGTTCGCGTTGTTGACAGCTGCCCACGCGCTGGAGGTGTCAATGTCCTCAATGGCGCCTTCGGAGTGGAGAAGCAAGGTAAGAAGACAGAGTCGGGTCTCCCGATCCTACGTTTCATTGTCGACCTCCGAGCTACGAACTGGTTGATGACGCAACTGGAAGGTGACACGTCTACCTTGACAGGGGCCGCGTCGTTCCAGCGGCTGGTGGTGGAACAAAATCAAACGCTTCTGGTGTCAGGCGAGGACTTGACTTCTGCTTTTTACTTGTTTCGACTTCCTCATGCCTGGAGTGATTTTATGGTAGCAGCTGTGTTCGGTCAGCAGGGGGATGGCCTTGTTCACATTGGCCTTACAGTGCTGCCCATGGGCTGGCATTCGGCGGTTGGGCTGATGCAAGCAGCTCACAGAGAGATAGCGCTCCGGAGCCAAGTCAGAGGAGGAGCTGGGCTTGAAAAATGCGAGATCAAGCAAAACGCCGAGTTCCCTGAAGTTGAGGAGCTTTTCTTGTTGGTCGATTTACCTTGATGACACGACCATTTTGGAAAAAGTTGCAGAGGCGGCAGCAACAGATCTTGTGGGACGGCCCGCGGATGAGCAGCTCCGGCTGCGGAGTGCTTATCAATGGTGGGGCATCCCAACCAACAAGGACAAAGCTCTGGAACGCTGCAAGCAAGCAGAAAGGTTGGGGTCATTGATTGATGGCCAAGGAGGCATTTTGAGGACAACTATGCAGAGGAGCCTTGACCTCCGGCAGAAAGGGCAAGTAACTCGCAAAGAGCTGCAGATCTATGCAGGAAAGAGTGTGCACATTCTGCACTTCAGGCGATGCCGGTTTTCAGTGTTGCAGGAGCTGATCACTGTCATTGCTCGCGAGCCTGAGGTTACAAGGGATGCTTCTCCTGGAATGCCTGCTCCCGATGATGCAGTTCGACCTGAGGGCGGAGGTGGGCCCCATAGTGACAGCCAGCGATGCCTGCGAGACCGCCGGGGTGGCGCCTGTTATGCTTCGAGACCAAGCAGATCAGGAAAGGAGGAGGCAAAAAACCAGCTGGAAGGAGGAGTGGTAGCGGCTGTGTCACATTCTGTGGTGGTGCTGCGGAGAAAATTTCCCGGCAGTGATGAGGTACATCAGAGCCTTTGATGAGAAGGCGTTGGCAAAGGCCATCGTAAAAGCCAGGGGCTCTCCCGCTTATCCAGTAAAAGAACGCACCTGGAGGTGCGAATGTTTGAGATGGTTCAAGCCATGGCAGAAGAAAAAGGTCTTTGGGCCCTGCTGTTGCTTGAAAATGTGGTGGCTGACAAGGGGGACATCCGCAGGATGAGTGAAGCCCTCAAGATGAGGCCAGTCCTTGTGGATTCCCAGCA